TCTGATATACATGATACTAGTCTGTACTAACTGTAAACTGTTTAATAGCACTTAGAGGTGCTCTTATCTTTGAATTTACTATTAAAAAGAAACTGCAAATAGGAAGGTATATAGAGGATTCATGAGTAATTATCAAAGTTATGGGTGAAAATTTTATTGAAGAGTAGGCTTTCATTAGTACTTCCATGTCACATGGATATTTTGAAGGAATTACATGCCTATTCTGCATTCTGTGCTTGCACAAACTCTTTCATAGTCTTAAATAACAATGTGCTATATGATGAGTCATAAACATCAGAGTGAGAGGAAGTAGGAGGTGTTGAAGGCAACTTAGGATAATTTCGGGTGAAAATTTGGCTACTGACAATCTAATTAGTCCCAGGGAGGGAGTTGAAAATTTAAATATGAGTTTGATTAATTTTCTAATATAAAAAGAACTTTCGTCTTATTTTTTTTAGAAAAAAATTTGTTGAATTTTATATTTATTTATTCATTTATTTTTTTCTTTCAAGAAACTTGGCTAATTTATTCTACTCCTGATATTTCAGTACTCATTCCCTCCGTCATGTGTTGGAGAAGTTGGACGAATGGGAGCACCTAGTAGAAGAGAAATAGGTCATGGAACACTTGCAGAGAGAGCTCTTGAAACTGTATTGCCTTCTGAAGATGATTTTCCTTATACCATACGTGTTGAGAGTACCATCACCGAAAGTAATGGTTCTTCAAGGTGGATTTTCTTTCTCTGCTTTATCTATCAGAAAGAAAATATTCAATATGTAATTTTATATCTTGAAAATACCACCTTTCTTTCTTTCTGCAATGCTGCATGTTAAGTTGTTTTCTATATGATTTAGTTTATAATGTTTACCGATTAGTATTAAGTTTAAATGTAACAGCATGGCATCTGTTTGTGGAGGTTGCTTGGCATTGCAAGATGCTGGGGTCCCAATAAAGTGCTCTATTGCAGGGATAGCAATGGGTTTGGTTTTGGACACTGAAGAATTTGGGGGGGATGGAACACCGCTTATTCTCTCTGACATTACTGGATCTGAAGATGCATCTGGGGATATGGATTTTAAGGTTCTATCTGCTTCCTTTTATTCTTAGGTGTTCTCAATCAAATTTCTTCTATTGCTTGGTTAAAAAAAAATTCTTTAAATGTAGAAGGAAGATGTAAATATTTTGTAGAAGCTGTACTTCTAAAATTTTAGTGTGGATTTTAAAATTTTTGAATGGACCTTGTATTGAATGATAATCACAGGTTGCTGGAAATAAAGATGCCATAACTGCATTTCAGATGGACATAAAGGTTATTCATTTTCCACATTTTCGTTAATGTTTCTGGAAAATATGTTTCATTTTTATTCTCTTGTGTTTATACAGCTGCATGCTGTTCACTCCCATATAACACTTTATAGGTCACATGTACATCCAGCTGTTCCTTCTTTCCTATGATGACTGTAGACAATTATTGATCATCGTTCCTTTTGGGTAGGTGGGAGGAATTACTTTACCAATAATGAAGAAGGCACTCTTACAAGCAAAGGATGGTCGTAGGCACGTTCTTGGTAAAGCTCCCAACTATTTTCAGAACTCAGCAATAGTTCAGAGATATAAATGTTTGTGTGTATAAATATGTGTGAATGCATGCATGCATGTATTTATGTATGTATTTATGCATCTTATCTACAGTTTCTTTGAAAAAAAATTTTTGGAGCTATTCATATGTCTAAATGTTAGACAAGGTTAAGGTTATGTTTGGTCCAGCCAATTCCTATTTTCCTATTCACTTCTAGTGTTTGAAGTAATGGTTTCTGTTGACGCACATGCTTGGGAATAGAGTTATCTTCTTTGCTTCTCTCTAGGCAAAAGCTCATGGTTTTGGGACTGGATTGCCTTTCTTTCCTTCATATTTTCTTACAAATGTTTTTAATCAAGATCAATAAGAAGAGAGGAGGTAGCTATTAATGTACGACTGACGCTGTGACAGCATATATGAGTGAGAGAGAGAGCATCAAAGCGTGATCGACGCCGTCGACAAGCCACGACAGTGCCGTTTGTCTAGGGCTATGGTGCAGGGTCCACGTAAGTTTTTGCATGTTGGACAAAAATCTTTCGACATTGTTGGAGAAGGTGACGGAGTGCGTATTTTCAAAAGTGGGAATTGAACCAGGAAATCAATTCTCTTTCATAAGGAGGAGGCGCAATGGCTGAGGGGAAGCTTTAGGGAGTTTCGGTGAGAGAAAGGAGAGGACGGCCAGGCAAGATGCTTGTGGAAAAGGAACTGTACTCTCTGGATGGCTTTAAGCTCGGTGCGGGGAGAGAATTTCTTGGTCCTATCTGAGAGCTTCACTGGAGGAAGAGGGGGAGTCAAGTGAATCTTTATCCCGGAGGGAGAGAAGGCTGGTGGGTGGTGAAAATTCACGGAAGCGATTTATGAGGTCCAAGGGGTCAAGTTGGTAGAACCAGATTGGGTGAAGGGGAGAGGGAAGGTGGAAGTAGTACAGGGGAGTGGGGCTGATCGGGTACGATGTGCTGTGTCAGGGACATTCTCCGTTAGTTGTCCTTATTGTGGCAAGAAGATAGAGGTTAGGGAGAGCAGAAAGGAGAAGATGACAGCGGCGTCACTGTTCAAGCAGCCTGCAGTGGGAAATCGTCGAGTAGGGCAGATAGTACCCTTAGCCGTAACTGAACCTGTTTCAAGGCAAAACGAAAGAGGCGGGGGGGTGGGGGGGGGGGTCGTTTCAAGTCAACGGGTCAGAAGCACGGGCCAGATCGCAGAGGAGCCCAGTCCAGAAATCAAATACAGTCCGATACGCGACTTATCCAAAACGAAGGAGGGAGTCACCATTTTGGGGGGACTGATTAAGAAGAGGGAGTACTGGGCCTCCGAGTTTTAGAAACGGGCTGAGAGTGGGCCAATGCTTTTCTTGTTTTGAGAAAGGAAAATGGATCGACGTTCTAGGCCCAAGTAAACTGAATTCAAAAAATAGGTTGGTGTGGAGGCTAGTTATTCGAAGCCCGTATATAGATTCCGACCCGGTCCAAAATGATAAACAGGTTGAAGAAAAAAGAAAAGAAAAAGGGAAAGGAGTTGAAGAGGAAGGAGAAGAGGAGGCTCGGGAGGCGTCACTGGGGTGCACGAGGAGGGTTTTGGTCTTGAGGCAGAAAAATAGTGAAAATGAGGAGGTTTCTGGCAAATGTGATGCGGAATCGGGAATGGAGGTTTGGATTTGTGAAATGCAGGTTGCGAGAGACAGAGAAGGGAGTGGAAATGGTGACGGGATTGCGATAGCTGATGAATCGAGCTGTCTGGTGGCCGCTGATGGCCAAGAAGCAGTCTGTGAGGCTGAAAACGACAATGAGCTGGCTTTGATGGTGGTTGAGGAAATATATGATGATTGTAATACTGATTTTGAGGAAAATGGGATTGGGAGCAGTAGGGAGTGGGATAGATTGAGTGGTAAAAATGCTCTAAATGGCTGTATGTGGGTAAATCAAAATATACAGAAATCAGTAAAATGGGTTTGAAAGATAAATTACTGGAATTATTTATGGAAATTGAGAGAAGGAGATCAGAAATTGTCAGTAAGGGATCAGGTGTGGGGAAGGTGAAAACGAAAGCTGGGGAGGGGAAAGCTCGAGAGTTGAGAAGGCTGCAGTTTTCTGTGAATTATGATAGCAAAAGGAAAGGCAGCAGGGGAGAGGGGGAAAATGGTAGGAAAAAATGATCTCATGCAATGTTAGGGGGATTAATGATAAAAAGAAGAGAATGGTTATTACAAGTTGTTTGGGACGGTGGAAATCGGATGCTTGTTGCCTTCAAGAAACAAAAATGGAAGAGATCAACAATTTTGTTATTCGTAGTTTGTGGAAGATAAAGGAGGTTGGGTGGAAATGTATTCCGGCGAGTGGGGCGGCGAGTGACATTTTAATAATGTGGAGAGAGGATCGATTGAGCTGTAGGAATGTGATTATGGGTCAATACTCCATTTCTTGCTTATTTGAATGCTGGGGAGAGGGGGTTACTATGAGCATTTATGGGGGTGTCTTGTAGGGGCACTAGAGTTGAGAAGGGGCACTTATGGAGGGAGTTGGAGGCTTGTAAGAATACTTGGGGTGGGAAATGGGTAGTTGGGAGGGAGGACTTTAATTTGGTGTTAAGGAGGGGGGAAAGAACGGGGGACCAATTTCTAGAAGAAGTTTGCGGAGGAATTTAGAGATACTATTGAGTTTTTGGGGTTGTTGGACCTTCCGTTGATGGGGGGAAGGTGGACTTGGACAAACGGGATAGATCCTCCGACGTGCTCGAGTATTGATTGCTTTTTAATATCTAACAATTTTTTTTGATGAATTTACTGGTATAGGCGAAAAAGTCTTACAAAGGACGGTGTCGAATCACTTCCCCATTTGCATTATGTCAAACAGGATCCAATGGACTGATTCCATTTAGGTTGGATAATAGATGACCCAAGGAGGAGGATTTTAAAAGATTGGTGGAAAAAATGTGGAGGGAGGAGAATGTGAGTGGTAAGGCTAGTTTTTGGGTGGCTAAAAAATTAATAGCGCTGAAAGTGGCTATTAGTGAGGGTGGAAGAGGGTATCAATAGATTGTTGGAGGAGTTAGAGGGCCTGGATTTGGAAGAAGG